ATGTTATTACCACAATCCTCGAAAACCCAAGAGCTTCCATCAAGTTTATGGATATACAAGTTCACTTCTTTATCCTTAGCCCAAAATGGATGTGGTTGGAAGTCAAATAACAATGTGCCACCAGATGATGTGTCTAGGTTGTAAGTGTCTTGTAGGAAGGAATTGGTGTCCAGTATTTGCAAAATCTAAAGATCTAGTGTAGTCCATGTGTATCAATGTATAACATATGTATTTGAAAATTTATTCTACTTTATTGTTCCAAAAAAGACATGATAGATAATAACCTTGATACATAAGTTTAGATAATCAGTAGTTTTAAAATTTTCCTGCTGGATTTTAAAACCAGATGCATAGGTTTAAGTTCTAGATGTAAGCTATTGGCCTATCAGAAATACATCTCCTAAGAAACTAGTTCTTGGCATAAGTATTTTTGGTGTCTTTTAAGCATAAGTGTTTTATAGGATTTGAATTTCATTTCCATTTAGGTTCTAAAAACATTCATTTCATATATGTTAATTTTTTTTCAAATGGTGAGTTGTGGCTTCAGTGAATTGAGAGAGATGAACTGCCACACAAAGAAATAATCAAAAGTATTTTTTATGAATTATTCTTTAAAAAGTATTTTAACAAGTACAGACGCTCCTTTTCTTATAATGAGTTACGTCCCAGTAAACTCATTGTCCATTAAAAATGTCATTAATTCAACAACTTATTTAATACACCTAACTTACTAAATGTTGTGGCTTAGCCTAGCCTATCTGAAATGTGCTCGAAACACTTACATTAGCTTACAGTTGGGCACAGTCATCTAGAAAAATCTATTTTATAATAAGGGGTTGAGTACTGCATATAATTTATTTATTGAATAGGATAATGAAAGTGAAAGACAAGTGTATGGATGCTTGAAGTGTGGTTTCTATGGAATCCGTATCCCTTCCATGCCATCATAAAGTCAGAAAGTTTAAGTCAAACCATCATAAATCAGGAACCGTCTCTATATCATATCATGAAATACAATAATTTTTAACATTTTATGCCATGTGAAGTTTATATGTTGCTACTAAAATCAAATGAATATTTCATAGTATTATTGTGATAGATAGTATTTATTAGGGCTTTTCCAGCTTTGCTTAGAAATTTATTTCAATGGAGGGAGGTTTCTTGGCACAGAACATTTTTGGTTTAAGGAATATCATGCAAATAGAAACAAAGACAGGAAGAAAAAAGCATCAAAGAATTTACAAATGTTATACTCATTATATATTAAAGAAATTTACTACTGGAGATATTAAGTAACTTATCTAAGAGAAAAAATTTGCATTTGAACTTAGTCTATCCAGCCTGTCTAAATCCAAAGGTTTTCATTGGAATCATCAACCCACTGATACTTAATTCCTTTTTGTTTTTAAATCATGATAGATAGCATTTTGTGAATTGTTTTGCCATAAAATACATGTTAAGGAATTCCAATATTTCTGCTTTATTTTAACTCTTGCCATTTCATTTTGTGTTACACTGAAACACAATTTATATTGAAGAAAGGACTTACTGAAATCTCCCTTCCTATTTTACATATGGGGTGGTCACATATTATCCTGACAACACGCTTCAATTAAGTTTTTCTTTTAAAAAACCCACTCTCCCTAATTTTAGACTGCCTTAAAGTACAACAAATATCTTTATTCTTTTGATTAACTCCAAACATTAATTTATTGCTGCTTGCGTGAGAATGAGTATAAATATAGTTTTATCGGTGATCCAGTCTCTCAGTCTTTGGTCACAGTGATTTCTTTTTGGTCCTCACTTAAGTCTCTGACTGTCAAAAAGAAAATGGCAAGATATTGGGGCTGACCTTTCTGCTTCCAAGACTTTGATGTAGTCACAAGGGAAGATGACCTTTACGGCCCCTGCCTGCCATGAGCTGAGGTACACCATATCCACAGGAAATGAAACTGTGAAGGTTATCTCAGCACAGAGTGGCACAGGAGTGGCCATATTCATTAATTAACTTGCCTTTTATAATTTCAGAGCTAAAGATATATATGATACATAAAGATTTAGCTTCTGAATTGGTATCAAAATGACAGTAGCCTTCAAAAGATTCTATTTCTAGGGCTGGTTTTTTCATATTCATAGAACCATGGAAACTTTATTTTAAAGCATGACAGTTTAAATTCCTAAGCTCTAATTTCATCAGAAAGTATCACGTATAACGATATTCAGCCAGCTGCCTTGCTGCAGAGGCAGGATGTGCTAGTAGTATCCTCGGGTGCTTTGTAGATTGGAAATTTCCCCAGTAGCTTCGATCTAGTTCCTCTGGTGGATGGAGTTCACGTTGCTACAGGATCGACATGTGGCCACTAATTATTGTTTGGAATTCATTTAAATTTGAACCTGGATGAATCGATTTGGCAACTGACAGAATGCTGGAGTTTCAACGCTTAGTTCCCCAGTTAGACAAGGCAGGTGTTCATTTTCTCTTTGACTCAATTTCCTTACTTATAAAATGGGACAATTATGGAATCCTTTTCACAGAACTGTGATGAGAATTCATGAGCTGATACATGTGTAGTATATTGTAAATACGTTCTTTCTTTAAAGTAAAATGTTCCACATTATAGTGAAAATAATTTAACTCTATGCCACCCACTGACTATTTTGTCACTGTTGATGGGGGAGGTAAGATGGAACTGGGACGTGTCCTTACTTTTGGCTATCGTATGCCTTTCAATGCAGCAATTCTTTCCTGTTTTTATACTGGTGTTTTAGTTAAAATCATTCCTATGAACATTTAAAACAAATTTTCAATGGCTTATACTGCTTGTTTGGCCCAGTCCTTAACACGTTTCGTGTTTATGTGGTAACAGGCATCATGGCAGCTTGCCTTGTGCTCTGAGGTCAGGGACCCAGACATTAGAAGGAAATGAAAACTAACAGCAGTCACTTGCTGTTAAAAAAAACAACACCTCTGCACTTGTGAACCCATTTATGATGAATCTCTGCAAAGATAAGTCTGCTAGGGAAATTCACTCACAACTACATTTATAGTAATAAAGGATGTTAGTGCCCTTTACGCTGCTCCCGACTTTACCCCAATACAAAGCAGGGCGTGTGTGTTTGTGTGTGTGAGTGTGTGTCTCCTCTCTTTCAGAGGAAAGGAAACTGAGAAACAGATGTGAGTGTAATAGAGGCTGCCATGGGAACTAGAACTGCAGCTCCCGGTTTAAGAAGGAGAAGGACGTGCTTGTTTATTCTGCCTTTGCAGAAAGTCATTCTGCTTCTCCGATTCATCAGAGCTGCCGGGCGTCCCTCCTGAGCTCACTTGCCTTCTCTTCTGTGGTCCTTTGCTTTCCTTTATTTCCCTCCTCCCCCTTTTTTAATTGCTGACTACGTGGCAACTCCTTTGAATTAACCCCAAATATTTGATTTCTTGCAGCTAGTGTGAGCCTGAATATAAATTATACCTTCTCCTTACACCTTTATCCTCCCTTTGCTGTAAACGTTACCCTAGAAGCGGTGGGAGGAACTAATAAGGTTCTTTTTGTTTCATACCTAAAATACACTGCCTCAGGAAAAGTGGTCCAGAGGAAGAGAACAGCATTTTTTTTTCTAAGTTATAGGGAAATATCTGTGCTAGAATTCTGTTAAGCTTATAGTATTCAAAAACATAGGCTTTCTGGTGTTGACTTTCATGCTGGTTAAACACTTGGTGTTAGACTGTGAATGTCAGTTTCATTTCTCTGTGTAGATTCAGTGTTCATATGTTCGAGTCTTTGGTTAATGGTCAGAGGTTTAGGTGAACATCTAAGAGAATCACTATGGATAGTTATATCCTTACATATTTTTCTGATGAATTATTTTTCAGAAACTCTGGCTAAAAATGCAATACAAATGTTACATTTTGCATAGGTGTCTCCCTTTGAATAGGCCCCTTATTCAAAGACACTTGAAGAGCTCTATGACATGGTCTAATAAATTTTTACATTGCACATAGAAGAAAAGGATGTAGGTAATATTGTCATTTTATAGATGTAAAATCTTTCATATTACTTAAGACATGCTATAACTTGAAAGTAAGCTATTATTTGAAGTCTTTTAGTATGGTAAATATCATTTTCAGTAAAATATAAAATATTAAAGGAATAGATTCCTGAAAAGTAATCAGATTATTACTATAATTTTT